TCTTACATAATTAAGATGAGGATTTTTCTGAGGCATAAAAATCTCTGGTCACGTCTTCCTTCGGAAGGGAAGTAAAGCCGTTGGTCCCGGCCCATGTGTGTTGTTGAATGGGTGCGATATCCTTCGCAGGTGTGGAAGCTGCCTTCGTGCACATTCGATTGCCGTCAATGGATGGCAATCGATGTCCGTCGGTGATTGGCACTAGATTGCGGAATAGAGACCGACGTTAAATAAAGGAAAGAATAATTAAGATGTTTCACACACACCCACACACACAGATACACAAACACACACAAACAGAGGATCATCCTGAACAGGCTGACGAAATGCACGGAGAGTGAACATGGATTGTCGGAGAGCCAGTTTGGATTCCGTAAAGGGAGATCGACGGTGGATGCAATTCGGACAGTGATTGACAGAGCCGAGAAAGCTTCCAAACAGAAGCGGAGAAGAAATCGATACTGCGCCGTGATTACGATTGATGTGAAGAATGCATTCAATAGCGCCAGCTGGGAGGCCATCGCCAAGGCGCTCCATAGAATGAGAGTTCCAAACTACCTCTGCAGGATTCTAAGTAGTTACTTCCAGAACCGGGTCCTGGTAACACATTTTTAATATCTTATCTTAACATATTTCTAGAAGTGTTTTATACAATATTCCATCATACAGTATCTTCAAGTGATCTTCGCATGCGCCATTCATTCAGGCTCTTTGGAAGTACATGTGGTGAAATATGAAATGCGCCTTTTAAAATGAATTACACATAACAATGACCAGTGTCATCACTTACTCACACATGAAATCTGCCTCGACCAACCTGGCAGAACGCGTATGGAAACCACTGAACCAAAGGGCAGGGAAGTGCCCGTCGATGGTATGGCCTATAAACGTCTTGATGGTGCAGAGTTCAAAATTTTGCACGGCAAGGTATGGGACAGAAGTTTTAATTGTAATTGCAATTGTTCAGTGTATAGGACTAACCCCCTAGTATATACACCTACAGTCCTTCCCGTTGCACTCGTCAGCTCGTGCGATACTCTAGACACACATGAGTGGTCGTATCCGGGTCCTCCCCTGCGTAGGCTCGTGTCCGTCCAGGTTCTGGTACATTAACTTATATCTATGCATGGTAATTATACTTTACAACTCACCTTTTGATTATAATGTCGATAATGCTGAAACTATATGAAGGTTAGTGATCATTATTAGGTGTGTGCTGCGATGAAGTAGTAATTGAAGGGAATGAGGTTCTCATGTGGCTTATAGGTGATTCCAGAATAGGTAAATCATGCAAGCACACACCTTTTACAATTCTTATCCTACTTACCAGTATAAATTGGCTGTCTCCAACCGGCGTGATCCTTTCTGACTGCTTACTCTCTTCTTTTCTTGTTCACGCCTTCTCACTTTTTTTTTCCTTTCTATTGAGCATCTGGCCGTGTTCCCATTTGTTCTCAGGCAGGTAATATTGGTACATGAGAGGAAGAAAGAAATAGAACAAATAAAGTGTGAGCCACATGCCTCTATTTCGCTCTCAGATCGCATCACTTTTCCCCTCCCCTCAAACTATTATGGGTGAAAAAGAGAACCCATATTTGGTAAACTCTCGCGAGCGCAATTCAAAGATATTAATAACAAACTAATCTAGAACTGGGCTCAAACATATCACATTTTCTAAGACTGATCATTATTCATATAGTATGAATAATGAGAATTGTATGAAGAAAAGACTATCCCAAAAGAAAGTTCCCTAGCAATAAAACTATTACTCTGTGCTAATCTGAGTTATTTCAAAATGGGAATCCATACTCAGAAACTATACCCGATCTCAACAAACTGTACCGAAATCAGAACGGCAAAACTACTCGGTAAGATTTTGGCATTTCTATTTAATTGTATAAAGCTACTTTACATCGAGCTCTTTTCAATAATTGCAACATGTGAATAAAGCAGAACAAGTTTAAAATTGTTCTAGAGCCAAATTGGTTTTGAAGGAAGGTCAAACTACAACCGAACAGCTCAGCCGCTCTGAACCCTTCAAGTATGAACATTATGCTTTCCCAATATGGTACATTCTCTCACTATAAACCTGTCATTTTTAGCCTATCTGAACTATTTAATAAATGGAAACCATAACATGGGTTACGCTCCCCCTAAGCGGGTCCTCCGCATCCTATCTCTGTCTTATCTGAAATTGGAAATAACGTTCAATCAAATAAACCCATACCCCACTCACATGGCCAGGCTTCAGAATCGTCCAGTGGGCAGTGCACTCCAAGTTTCCTTTCTTTCAAATTCGTCCCAAATTTGATATTTTACTTCTTTGAGTGTTGATTAATCACAATGAAACATTGTGACAGAGCACGGACTTGAGGTTACTAGGGTATTAAATAATTTAAGTGCTATTTAGGATTATATCTGAAAAATCCAAATCTGGCCAACGCCCACCAAGGTATGGGACAGAAGTTTTAAAACCTGTAAAACCAGAATTTAGTATTCAACATTCAGGTAAGTACCGGTTCCTCCTCCATTAATAACCAGAATATAAAATTATGCTATTTAATATTATACGAGAAAGGCACTTTGTCACCGATGGGTGGATTAATCTGAGTTTCTCTTCTAGAACCTCACGGAAATAGGGTCTTATTGATGCTAAGCTTGAAACATCTTGAATGCTTTTCTTTCTTAAAATCGCTGTTAGAAGGTCGTCCCAAAACTGCCCGAAAATAACATTAGTTTAATGCCTTGAGACGTCAAACGGGCAGCAACACTTACTGGATTTAAGGGACACTGCATTTAAAATATTAAAACCGGTTTTTAAGCAGTTATTTATTTAGAGTTTTGTGAACTGACAAAATATACATCTTGACGAAGTTATCTCTACGGATTATTTTGTATGGGTGTCGACTTTTTAATAATTGTTGTAGCACAGGATTCTGGACTCAACCACAAAATTCGCTATAGTCGCCAACGCAAACAAATAACATCATCGGGAAGAGAGGCTTATTTACAAAAAGCTTGCCCATTTCACAATTTTTTCTTGATATAACTTATTTATGTTCGAAGATCGATTCAGCGTGGTCTAGTACATTTAGCAAAACTCAAAAGCGTAAAATCACTCCTAGTCCATCTGAAACATTTCAAAATTGGAAGCTGTGAGCCATATTATATTTCCACTAAGCGGTCCCTCCGCGTCCTACATCCAGCCTTAAAACTGTTGCAAAGAATAGAATCCCAATAATACAAATTTTAATTAGAACATTGGAAATATGTCTACCTGCACTGAATTGGCCATGCAAGTATTACTTTCCACATTACGTTGGCTCGCTAAGACCGCCGCACAGTGGGATGAAATCAAAAAAAGTGGGACATGGCCAATTGTGGCGAAACTGTTGAGTATAGCATTTTGCTGTTAGAATATTTCTTTAATTTTTGAGTACTTTATATGAGTGGTGAAAATTTTTGCTTAAGGGAGGTATACACTAAGATATTTTGGCTTACGTCATTGAGCGACACGTTCTGAAAAAAGTTCCTAAACAAGCTAATCATCATCCTTGGCAAACAAGTGAACTCCGTATGATAAAGTCTTCCAAAAGAGCCTCGCTAAGAAAATACACCGTTCAGAATGGTTCAACGGATGTGAATCTACCCGTAACGTGGGTAGATCACCTTTTCGTGGTACGTTACGGGATGTAAGATCTACCACCGATTCCTAGTCCTGACTACTTCAAACTAGGGGAACATGATTTTTCAGTAATCCAAGGAATACATCTTAGTCCTTGTTACTTTTTATGCCTTGTTGATAGTGACAAGACTCGGCTTTGCCCACCGAGGATGATCTTGAATCAAGGAAAAAATGAATTTAGTTAGTTTTCATCTATGTGATTCCTAATCTTCTATTCGTTGTTCTATAGTTTGAAGTGGTTAAGACTAGGGTTCTGATGCATGGTCATTATCGGTGTCATTCCTTATTTTTGTTGCTAAGGAATCCAATTTTGACTGACAGAGGGGCGCGCCTTTGGAGGGTGTTTCAACACTCCGAAGGGTATAAATAGCGGAACCTTTCAATTAGAGTCAAATCTTTGCGATAAATGCAAGAATGACAACTGTAAAAAAATCGAATACTTTATCATTTCTCAATAGTGATGGAGTAATACGACATGCACTAAACTAAGGACACGGGATAGATTACAACAGATCAAATTACTGGTCGCAGTGGTGTTAGGTCCCGAACAGAGGAAAAAAATACACCAAGTACCGCACCATACAACTCCAGGACCATTATGCGAGGATCAATCATGCGTATCAACGAACCAGTCACCAATGTTATCGGCGTTATCAACGGAAGCATCGATCTCACCCGAAAACTTTTTGGAATTATGTGAATGAGCAACGAAAAGAGTCTGGCCTTCCATCGACTATGGTACTGAACGGCGAAGAAGTTTCATCCCCTCAGGACATTTGCCGTCTGTTCTCAACCAAGTTTGCGAGTGTATTCTTGGATGAGAACCTACCTGACGAGCACGTTTCTCTAGCAGCCACTAATGTTCCAATGTCTGGTCAATTCTATGATAACTAGGTCGGCTTCGCAACTGAAGTCTTCATTTAAGCCTGGAGCTGACGGAGTTCCTTCCGTCTTTCTCAAGCAACACATCGATAGCCTGGTGGCTCCTCTCTGCCTCCTGTTCGAAATGTCCCTTCCTGCTAAATCAGCTGAGATGTTTCCAGTGCATAGGGATGCAAAAGAAACATCGACAACTATCGCGGCATCACCTCGTTGTGTGCCATGTCTAAACTGTTCGAGTTGGTCGTTATGGAACCATTAGTCTCTCACTTCAAGCAGCACTTGAGCGAAGATCAGCATGGTTTCATGGCAGGGCGGTCGACTACTTCCAACCTTCTGTGTCTCGCCTCGTACATTACGGAGAGTATGACAGACCATATGCAAACAGATGTCATCTATACTGGCCTATCAGCCGCCTTCGACAAGTTGAACCATCCTATATAACGATCGTCAAACTGGATAGACTCGGCTCGGTATAAACGGCAGTCTCCTTCGATGGTTCGCATCCTATGTATCTGATCGTCAGTTGAAAGTTGCAATCGATGACTGCCGATCTCCTTCGTTCCCTGCCACTTCGGGTATTCCGCAAGGTAGCCACCTCGGCCCGTTGATATTTCTTGTGTATTTCAACGACGTCAATTTCGTCCGAGACGGTCCACGACTGTCGTTCGCAGACGACATGAAAATCTATCTCCGAATCCGAGCCATCGCTGACTGCCACCTTCTCCAACTCCAACTCAACGCTTTTGCTAATTGGTGCCAACTGAACCGCATGGTTGTAAATCCAACAAAATGTTCTGTAATCACGTTCTCACGGAAGAAACATCCAATTACATTCAGTTATATCCTAGAAGGCGTTGACGTACATCGTGTGAATCACATTAAGGATCTAGGAGTCATCTTAGATTGTCAACTCACATACAGCCAGCATATCTCGTACGTGATCGACAAAGCATCCAGAACGCTCGGCTTCATTTTCAGGATAGCTAAAAGTTTCACGGACATCTACTGTTTGAAGTCGCTTTACTGCTCCCTCGTCCGGTCGGTGTTAGAATACTGCTACCAAATATTATAAATTAACAATATGGTTCACTTCCAGAATTCCCATACATTTCTGAAAAGACGCATAAGTAATACCCTCTTCCGGTGAGAAAGGTGACTAAAAACATTCGTGGCCTTATTATTTAAGCGTGTAATCAATTCATACGTTTAGTCAAATAAAAGGTGTGGCAAACAGTAGTAGCTTTCTCATGCATGTTACACGCCTACCCTGACGTCATGACATTATACTACGTTCAGACTATAGTTGATATTAATAACATAATAACGTAATATAATATGATATCAAAAATGCCTAAATAACGTGATGTCTGCTAAAGATTGAATGTACATTAAGCTTAGAGGTGATCCAAACAAATAAAAGAAAATGCAGATTATATCTGCCATCCCTCTTTACATACCACATTGGCAACTGACAGGAAGAAAAATTTCAACACGCTAATAATCGTTAACCCAATTTTGGGTACTAGATTAACAAACACGGTAAGAAAAAAACACTCAAAAACACTTGAGTTTAAAAAAAGCTCAAAAACAAAATACTAAAATGATTTCGATTTTCAGTTAAAAGTACTCAACCGTCATGTTTTCACCATTGGGAAATTTTAACTTATTTTTGGATGAAAATCAAAGCAACCTGCGCTGCCTTTGATACTGTCATTTCTGTGTGCTTCATCGCCTTCGTTCGTGCTCCATTATTGGCGTTGACGGTACCGTCGAAAAATGGTCTCTTCTTAAAATGATTGACAGTTTCTTATGGGATTTTTCGGTGAAGTGAAAGGATGGTACTAAGGAGCCTACATTTATAAAGAGACGACATGTCAAAATAGGAATAATCGATTGTCTGTCAAAGTCATAGGAAAAGTCATTCCAATCGAGCAGAAGACCTGTCAAATGGATAAGATGTCACCTCTTTATAAATTCAGGCTCTTTAGATAGTACCATAGAGGTAACTCTAATACCAACAATCAATACGAAACTAACGATTTTAAATTGGCTCACTACTTGACTAGCCTCTTGGTGCCAAGCAAACGATTAACGTACCCCATTCTTGTCGAAATTCTAGTACTACGCAATGTTTGTTTTGATTCGCTATGAAAGTTTGACAGATAAATTTTTTCCTATGTTTCGAGGGGTGAATCGATTAGCTTCCCGTAAAAAAAAGAACGATACAGGTACAATGAAATGTATTGTAACCATACAATAGAATTTATTGTACTTAAAATACATTGTATTGTCAGTAAAGATAAAATAACCATAGAATTTATAGTTTCCACAATAAAATCTATGGTAAATGTGGAAATCTACAATAGAACAAGGGGGTTGTTATGTATCTTAACCGTACAGAAATTCACTTTTTCCCGAATAAACTTGAGTCATTTACCATTAATTTTATTGTTTTTCTATTGTTGAAAATTCATGCTCTATGGAACGTATTCTAGATCTATTGTAATAACAATATTTTAAATTTACTTGTATGATATACATACAATAGGATCGATTGTTGGCAGTAGATTGTGTTGTGATTTTATATTATTCTATGGTTATTGTATGGTTATTTTTTTCCGGGTTGGGACCGAAGAGAGTACCAGAACTGAGCCAAAAAGTTGAGACCTTCTAGTCTTATGGCGGTAAGCTCCAACTCGGATTAACTTTTAATACCGTCCCTGTTTGTATGATCTGAAAAATGTTTGCTCAGAATTATGTTGATTAACTCTGATGTCGACATCAAACCAGCCGGACATTCTTGATCGGGATTTAATCCGAGGATAATACCGGTTGGAGCTTACCACCATTAGAGTTACCTCTATGCTAATACATTTTCGAAAAGAGAACTATATTAGAACGTTTTTACTTATGGTTTAAGAACATTAGTGGTTATGGTTATGATAGTCAGTAAGGTCCATTAATGGTTTTGTATTATCGCTCAACTTTACGTGGAATATATCGTGAATTGGTAATCAGTAATTTACAGGCAACCAATTCGCGATATATTCCACATAAAGTTGATCGATGTTACAAAACTATTCATGGACCTTACTGACTACCATAACCATAATCATTAATGTTCTCAAACCGTAAGTTAAAAGGTTCTAATATAGTCCTCCTCCCGAAAATATATGGAGAAAACAAGAATTTTGAATGGTAATGGTTCTTAACAACTCATTATTTGTAAGGTCCGCTTCCAAAAAACCATAATACATAAGGTTAAAACTTTATCATTAAACGTTCTTGTAAAGTTCCATAACCATTTCAGTTGAAGTTAAGCAGGGATTATAAACAATTTTTAACCATTTTTGGTAAGGTCAATTTTTAACTAACTTTAAAGTACCCATTATTGGGTAAAAAATACAAACATTAAAGATAAGTGACTTACCATTAAATTAGCAATTTTTACCCATTAATGAGTATCTGTTACCCATTAATGGATAACAGTTACTCATTAATGGGTAAAAAACTACTAATACTAGTTTAGTCACTTTTCTTCAAAACGGACCTTTTTTTTACTTATAAATGGGTACTTTCAAGTTAGCGTGTTAGGTACCTCGTTCTCCATGCAGCAACATGTGCAAAGGCATACAAGCCAAATGTATGCAATGCATTTAAACGTCGGTTGTTCCCGAATTGCAACATGCCCACTCAAACTACCTATATCATCTGATAAAGCAAATTATCTCTCAGATGTTGGTGTCATTTTGCCAGATTGAGTCAATACTCACGAGAAATCGTTCAAAATCATTGTTTACATTTGGTAAATAGGCCTTTTTTACATGTTTCTCTACTTACTAGCTTTCTCTATGATACGTCAAAACCATCATAGCTCAAAACAAAAACGATAAAGTTGAGTGTTGTGGACTGGACTATATGGAGAGTGCTTATGTGCAATCGTTAGAAATTTATAGTGGTCGTAAGTACTGAATACTTTAGAGATTTAATAGAGAATTTTTTTTTCTTGATTTGTTTTCTGTCGATCGTGTTTTCCGTACTGAGCACCAATGCTTCCGACGCAAGGCTGGCAGCTCCCACATCTAGACCTTACCTATCGACCCATCAACTCATGTACCGGGAATCAACGGCTTTACTTCCCTGGCGTGGGAGATGTTGTGCCTCAGGACATCCCGGCGGCGCCGACTGGGATTGAACCCAGGTCTGCTGGAGTGAGAGGCAATTACGCTTACAACTACACCACCGGCGCCGCTCAATAGAAAATGTTAGATATTTTTCAGTCACTTTCGGCTCTGGAAAACACTATCCTTCGGTGATGAAGAGGAAAAACTCACATGGCAAGCCCAAAGGATTAAGGTATGTCTTCGTTCGTGTTTCAATTGAGTGCAACTTCTTCCACGTATTTTTTCGCGAAACCATTCTCGTGAAGTGCCTTTTAAAGGAATTCAAATATCTGTTCAGCGAGTCGTCTATCAAGTGTTTTCTGATGGTGGTGCTCTGGCTGGCAGCGGATTGACATCTCGTGAAGAATCTGTGCGGTGGTGAGGATGCGCTGATGAAACGATATGGACGTGGACAACGGCAGTCGAACACCTAGGGTGTTCGGTTCAAATCGAAAAGCTGCGATAGTGGATACGGGTCAAAAGTGAATCTTAGTTCTTCGTGGTGGCACTGTTAGGATGAAGAAAACATGAATCGACCAACCGATTACTCATCGTAGAAGTGTTGTTTCTTATCAGTGCAGGGTCGTGACCGAGTCTTTGTTAACATAATTAAAACCCTTTAATTGTTTTTATTCAGATATGTACACATGTAATAACATAAGTAATGGGTACCATTTACCAAAAAATAACAATTACAATAATTAGTACCCATGAAAACTTAAGGTATATATATTATCAAATATTTGATAAATAAAGCAAACTACACAAACAGCCATTACATTTCTCTTCTACTTATGAATGTTAAGCTTTCTGCGCTTCGACAGTATTTTTTTGTTTTTCTTATCTTTCCGTTTTTGTTGTTCACCTGTCTTGATCTTCATGTTCAAATTTTGAAGCTTTGCTTTGATCAACATATTTATATACTTATTCGCGATCATCTTGGCGCATGGAAGGCACAGGGCGTTGTAAATTAACTGTTCCTTTTCATCTTGAGATTGATATTGCCAAAATATAAGGTTCATTAATTTTCGCTTAACGCCAATTACCGATTGTGTTAAAAAGGTTTCAAAATTTTTCTCAAATATGCCAACAATTTTTTTACAAAACCTCAGCATGTTCAATCCAGGAGGGTTAAGCTTTGAATCGGGCTTAAATTTCTTTAAATTCAGCAATATCGAAGTATCTCGTGAGACAAATCGCGTGTCGCCGTAGGCTCGTTCAATACATAATTTATGATTTAATTTGGAAGCTACCCAACCAGCAGTGTAGTATACACTGTTGGATTGATTAGATCCCATTTTGATATCGATTTCATTCTTAGTTGTTGCTTTCTTTTTGCTTTCAGATGCTAATATAATTTTCGTCTTCGACATTTCAGATGTGCTTACAAAATATTTATCAAGATCTGCTTCCACATTTCCTAACTTTTTTGGGGCCATGAGTTGATTAATCACAATGGACTTATAAGCTGATGAAAATTTGCTGGGATCTGGGTGGTTATTATTGCAGTTCTTCCATCGTATGAGCGAGAAAAAGTGTTCGAGGCAATCTTGAGACAAATTTCTGGTTCTCAAAAATGAGAAACCATGGTTATTCTGAAGATCTTTCCACAACCCCTCAATAGCCGAAATATAAATTAACCATCCATCGATAAAATAAGGTTTACGTGACTGAGATGGTAGCTTCGGACACTGTGCTTCCTGTAATCATTAGAAAAAAAGAATAAAATTTAACAATAGTATTTTCATCGTTGAGACTTAATGTGCGCATTGATTTGCTTATTCTAATACCCCGTTCACACTAAAGGCAATATATCGTGATATAGCCTATTTTGATTTTAGAATCGATACATATAGTTTTCGAAGGAAATTAGGTATATGCATGAAGTTTGACATCAAAATGCTTTATATAACATAATATAGGCTTTAAACGTTGTCCAGACTGGAGAGTTATAACATGTTATAACGGTTGTCAAATAATTGCAACACAGAAACCACCATCAAGATAGCGCTATAACATGTTATAACTCTGTAGTCTGAACGTACTATTAGTGTGAACTAGAGAGTATCTCTGCCGTGAAAGTTGGTATCATTATGTAACTACATTATTTTACCATTTTTAAATCGAAGCAGTCTTTGGAAATGAATCTCAATGTTTTCAATTTTACTTTCATATCAGTCATAAACTCCCAGTGGGGAGAATTCTCTTGTAACGGCCTTTTCAGAACCTAAGAAGAAATAGATCAAGTTTGAAATAATGATCGCTGTTGAGTAATATTATTAACAAACCTTCGTCTCGTTGAATGTCGATGAATTTGCACAGTCAAATAGTTTGTCGAAACATTCGGTGTATGCCGCCGTATTCAAACAGGCTTTTGATAGTTTTTTTAAGCTGACATATGCCTTCAAACCAGCGCTCACAGATGCACTTAGTGTCTGAGTTGCTAAGCTGACGTTCATCTCAGCATATGGAGCCAGCTGCACGTGATTTACAGTTAATCGTGGAACCATTCGTGGGAAGCATTTTATGTCCTCGTTGAATAAATCTACTATGTGTTGGAAGCTGCATACTTTGTCTTCAAATACTGCGTTATGTTTCAGCAAATTATTGCGGGACGATTTGGCCAAATGAGGTGCGTCGAATGCACAATAGATTCTCTTTTTATGAAAAAGAAACCATGGTCGTTCTATGCTGACTCCGTAAAGCTTGAAAAGGGAACGGTTTGTCGAATTCTGGTCACAAACTAATAATTTGGGAACAAGTCCTGTCTCAGTTACCAGCTTCAAACCTTCGTTGACGATATTCTGCAACCGCTCTGATTTCAATGAACTGGTATTAAAGAAATAACCAATGGCCTGCTTAAATCCTGATTTGATGGATTTCACCATAATGGTAAGGGCTGCACTGGCTCTTTGGTTCATATTGACAGTTTCTTTCCCAACTTTCGTGGGAAATCCCATGAAATAATCGGGATCAGAATTTGCAACATATGTTAGACGTTGTGAAACGCTCATCTCGTCGATAAATACAGTGACCAGTTTCTCGTCCTCTGGCAGACCAGCTACTTTGAATTTAAGGAGCTGTAAAATCGTCGACGAAAATCCTTCTTTGATGTTCAACCTGGATAGCCATCGTTTTATAGTTTCAACAGAGGGTAATGTGAAAATTTTTCGCATCTGCCGATAGGCCTTGCTGGAACAATAATGCAGTATGATAGACATGTTTCGCATCTTATCTGAAAATCTTGCGCCACGGGTTTTCCTGTTTTTATTCTTTTGTAGCTCCATAAGCATGGGATCTGCAAGGTTTGATGATCGCAACAGTAAGTCCGATTTAAGTTTCTTGGATTCTTCTTGAAGAGCTCTAATGTTTGCTTTCAAAGCCCAAGTTTGCTTCTGCTTCATTCGAAGCTTCTTTTTAAGTTCCCGATTCTCTTCTTCGACGATTACTAATCGTTCCATGCATTGAATTATATTTTCAACATTTGCGCAATAATTATGGTCATTTTCAATGCCAATATTGATGGAGGTACGGTTTAAGGTATCCGGGATATACGGAATAACATTTTCATCGGAAATTGAACCCACTTCTACTTCACCAGCAACACAGATGTCACTTGAAGTTAACAAATGAATTTCCTCCTCCATTGGTGCCGCTTCGGCATCTGGTAGTTGATCATCGGTATTACTGATTCCCGGAAATAGAGACGGACGAGCGTGTAGAAACAAACTAAAAATGATTGTTTATAAAGATTCACTATTCGTCATTAATTTTTGATTGTATGCGTATATACTAACCCTTGAGTTTTATTCAAATATTATAAATTAACAATATGGTTCACTTCCAGAATTCCCATACATTTCTGAAAAGACGCATAAGTAATACCCTCTTCCGGTGAGAAAGGTGACTAAAAACATTCGTGGCCTTATTATTTAAGCGTGTAATCAATTCATACGTTTAGTCAAATAAAAGGTGTGGCAAACAGTAGTAGCTTTCTCATGCATGTTACACGCCTACCCTGACGTCATGACATTATACTACGTTCAGACTATAGTTGATATTAATAACATAATAACGTAATATAATATGATATCAAAAATGCCTAAATAACGTGATGTCTGCTAAAGATTGAATGTACATTAAGCTTAGAGGTGATCCAAACAAATAAAAGAAAATGCAGATTATATCTGCCATCCCTCTTTACATACCACATTGGCAACTGACAGGAAGAAAAATTTCAACACGCTAATAATCGTTAACCCAATTTTGGGTACTAGATTAACAAACACGGTAAGAAAAAAACACTCAAAAACACTTGAGTTTAAAAAAAGCTCAAAAACAAAATACTAAAATGATTTCGATTTTCAGTTAAAAGTACTCAACCGTCATGTTTTCACCATTGGGAAATTTTAACTTATTTTTGGATGAAAATCAAAGCAACCTGCGCTGCCTTTGATACTGTCATTTCTGTGTGCTTCATCGCCTTCGTTCGTGCTCCATTATTGGCGTTGACGGTACCGTCGAAAAATGGTCTCTTCTTAAAATGATTGACAGTTTCTTATGGGATTTTTCGGTGAAGTGAAAGGATGGTACTAAGGAGCCTACATTTATAAAGAGACGACATGTCAAAATAGGAATAATCGATTGTCTGTCAAAGTCATAGGAAAAGTCATTCCAATCGAGCAGAAGACCTGTCAAATGGATAAGATGTCACCTCTTTATAAATTCAGGCTCTTTAGATAGTACCATAGAGGTAACTCTAATACCAACAATCAATACGAAACTAACGATTTTAAATTGGCTCACTACTTGACTAGCCTCTTGGTGCCAAGCAAACGATTAACGTACCCCATTCTTGTCGAAATTCTAGTACTACGCAATGTTTGTTTTGATTCGCTATGAAAGTTTGACAGATAAATTTTTTCCTATGTTTCGAGGGGTGAATCGATTAGCTTCCCGTAAAAAAAAGAACGATACAGGTACAATGAAATGTATTGTAACCATACAATAGAATTTATTGTACTTAAAATACATTGTATTGTCAGTAAAGATAAAATAACCATAGAATTTATAGTTTCCACAATAAAATCTATGGTAAATGTGGAAATCTACAATAGAACAAGGGGGTTGTTATGTATCTTAACCGTACAGAAATTCACTTTTTCCCGAATAAACTTGAGTCATTTACCATTAATTTTATTGTTTTTCTATTGTTGAAAATTCATGCTCTATGGAACGTATTCTAGATCTATTGTAATAACAATATTTTAAATTTACTTGTATGATATACATACAATAGGATCGATTGTTGGCAGTAGATTGTGTTGTGATTTTATATTATTCTATGGTTATTGTATGGTTATTTTTTTCCGGGTTGGGACCGAAGAGAGTACCAGAACTGAGCCAAAAAGTTGAGACCTTCTAGTCTTATGGCGGTAAGCTCCAACTCGGATTAACTTTTAATACCGTCCCTGTTTGTATGATCTGAAAAATGTTTGCTCAGAATTATGTTGATTAACTCTGATGTCGACATCAAACCAGCCGGACATTCTTGATCGGGATTTAATCCGAGGATAATACCGGTTGGAGCTTACCACCATTAGAGTTACCTCTATGCTAATACATTTTCGAAAAGAGAACTATATTAGAACGTTTTTACTTATGGTTTAAGAACATTAGTGGTTATGGTTATGATAGTCAGTAAGGTCCATTAATGGTTTTGTATTATCGCTCAACTTTACGTGGAATATATCGTGAATTGGTAATCAGTAATTTACAGGCAACCAATTCGCGATATATTCCACATAAAGTTGATCGATGTTACAAAACTATTCATGGACCTTACTGACTACCATAACCATAATCATTAATGTTCTCAAACCGTAAGTTAAAAGGTTCTAATATAGTCCTCCTCCCGAAAATATATGGAGAAAACAAGAATTTTGAATGGTAATGGTTCTTAACAACTCATTATTTGTAAGGTCCGCTTCCAAAAAACCATAATACATAAGGTTAAAACTTTATCATTAAACGTTCTTGTAAAGTTCCATAACCATTTCAGTTGAAGTTAAGCAGGGATTATAAACAATTTTTAACCATTTTTGGTAAGGTCAATTTTTAACTAACTTTAAAGTACCCATTATTGGGTAAAAAATACAAACATTAAAGATAAGTGACTTACCATTAAATTAGCAATTTTTACCCATTAATGAGTATCTGTTACCCATTAATGGATAACAGTTACTCATTAATGGGTAAAAAACTACTAATACTAGTTTAGTCACTTTTCTTCAAAACGGACCTTTTTTTTACTTATAAATGGGTACTTTCAAGTTAGCGTGTTAGGTACCTCGTTCTCCATGCAGCAACATGTGCAAAGGCATACAAGCCAAATGTATGCAATGCATTTAAACGTCGGTTGTTCCCGAATTGCAACATGCCCACTCAAACTACCTATATCATCTGATAAAGCAAATTATCTCTCAGATGTTGGTGTCATTTTGCCAGATTGAGTCAATACTCACGAGAAATCGTTCAAAATCATTGTTTACATTTGGTAAATAGGCCTTTTTTACATGTTTCTCTACTTACTAGCTTTCTCTATGATACGTCAAAACCATCATAGCTCAAAACAAAAACGATAAAGTTGAGTGTTGTGGACTGGACTATATGGAGAGTGCTTATGTGCAATCGTTAGAAATTTATAGTGGTCGTAAGTACTGAATACTTTAGAGATTTAATAGAGAATTTTTTTTTCTTGATTTGTTTTCTGTCGATCGTGTTTTCCGTACTGAGCACCAATGCTTCCGACGCAAGGCTGGCAGCTCCCACATCTAGACCTTACCTATCGACCCATCAACTCATGTACCGGGAATCAACGGCTTTACTTCCCTGGCGTGGGAGATGTTGTGCCTCAGGACATCCCGGCGGCGCCGACTGGGATTGAACCCAGGTCTGCTGGAGTGAGAGGCAATTACGCTTACAACTACACCACCGGCGCCGCTCAATAGAAAATGTTAGATATTTTTCAGTCACTTTCGGCTCTGGAAAACACTATCCTTCGGTGATGAAGAGGAAAAACTCACATGGCAAGCCCAAAGGATTAAGGTATGTCTTCGTTCGTGTTTCAATTGAGTGCAACTTCTTCCACGTATTTTTTCGCGAAACCATTCTCGTGAAGTGCCTTTTAAAGGAATTCAAATATCTGTTCAGCGAGTCGTCTATCAAGTGTTTTCTGATGGTGGTGCTCTGGCTGGCAGCGGATTGACATCTCGTGAAGAATCTGTGCGGTGGTGAGGATGCGCTGATGAAACGATATGGACGTGGACAACGGCAGTCGAACACCTAGGGTGTTCGGTTCAAATCGAAAAGCTGCGATAGTGGATACGGGTCAAAAGTGAATCTTAGTTCTTCGTGGTGGCACTGTTAGGATGAAGAAAACATGAATCGACCAACCGATTACTCATCGTAGAAGTGTTGTTTCTTATCAGTGCAGGGTCGTGACCGAGTCTTTGTTAACATAATTAAAACCCTTTAATTGTTTTTATTCAGATATGTACACATGTAATAACATAAGTAATGGGTACCATTTACCAAAAAATAACAATTACAATAATTAGTACCCATGAAAACTTAAGGTATATATATTATCAAATATTTGATAAATAAAGCAAACTACACAAACAGCCATTACATTTCTCTTCTACTTATGAATGTTAAGCTTTCTGCGCTTCGACAGTATTTTTTTGTTTTTCTTATCTTTCCGTTTTTGTTGTTCACCTGTCTTGATCTTCATGTTCAAATTTTGAAGCTTTGCTTTGATCAACATATTTATATACTTATTCGCGATCATCTTGGCGCATGGAAGGCACAGGGCGTTGTAAATTAACTGTTCCTTTTCATCTTGAGATTGATATTGCCAAAATATAAGGTTCATTAATTTTCGCTTAACGCCAATTACCGATTGTGTTAAAAAGGTTTCAAAATTTTTCTCAAATATGCCAACAATTTTTTTACAAAACCTCAGCATGTTCAATCCAGGAGGGTTAAGCTTTGAATCGGGCTTAAATTTCTTTAAATTCAGCAATATCGAAGTATCTCGTGAGACAAATCGCGTGTCGCCGTAGGCTCGTTCAATACATAATTTATGATTTAATTTGGAAGCTACCCAACCAGCAGTGTAGTATACACTGTTGGATTGATTAGATCCCATTTTGATATCGATTTCATTCTTAGTTGTTGCTTTCTTTTTGCTTTCAGATGCTAATATAATTTTCGTCTTCGACATTTCAGATGTGCTTACAAAATATTTATCAAGATCTGCTTCCACATTTCCTAACTTTTTTGGGGCCATGAGTTGATTAATCACAATGGACTTATAAGCTGATGAAAATTTGCTGGGATCTGGGTGGTTATTATTGCAGTTCTTCCATCGTATGAGCGAGAAAAAGTGTTCGAGGCAATCTTGAGACAAATTTCTGGTTCTCAAAAATGAGAAACCATGGTTATTCTGAAGATCTTTCCACAACCCCTCAATAGCCGAAATATAAATTAACCATCCATCGATAAAATAAGGTTTACGTGACTGAGATGGTAGCTTCGGACACTGTGCTTCCTGTAATCATTAGAAAAAAAGAATAAAATTTAACAATAGTATTTTCATCGTTGAGACTTAATGTGCGCATTGATTTGCTTATTCTAATACCCCGTTCACACTAAAGGCAATATATCGTGATATAGCCTATTTTGATTTTAGAATCGATACATATAGTTTTCGAAGGAAATTAGGTATATGCATGAAGTTTGACATCAAAATGCTTTATATAACATAATATAGGCTTTAAACGTTGTCCAGACTGGAGAGTTATAACATGTTATAACGGTTGTCAAATAATTGCAACACAGAAACCACCATCAAGATAGCGCTATAACATGTTATAACTCTGTAGTCTGAACGTACTATTAGTGTGAACTAGAGAGTATCTCTGCCGTGAAAGTTGGTATCATTATGTAACTACATTATTTTACCATTTTTAAATCGAAGCAGTCTTTGGAAATGAATCTCAATGTTTTCAATTTTACTTTCATATCAGTCATAAACTCCCAGTGGGGAGAATTCTCTTGTAACGGCCTTTTCAGAACCTAAGAAGAAATAGATCAAGTTTGAAATAATGATCGCTGTTGAGTAATATTATTAACAAACCTTCGTCTCGTTGAATGTCGATGAATTTGCACAGTCAAATAGTTTGTCGAAACATTCGGTGTATGCCGCCGTATTCAAACAGGCTTTTGATAGTTTTTTTAAGCTGACATATGCCTTCAAACCAGCGCTCACAGATGCACTTAGTGTCTGAGTTGCTAAGCTGACGTTCATCTCAGCATATGGAGCCAGCTGCACGTGATTTACAGTTAATCGTGGAACCATTCGTGGGAAGCATTTTATGTCCTCGTTGAATAAATCTACTATGTGTTGGAAGCTGCATACTTTGTCTTCAAATACTGCGTTATGTTTCAGCAAATTATTGCGGGACGATTTGGCCAAATGAGGTGCGTCGAATGCACAATAGATTCTCTTTTTATGAAAAAGAAACCATGGTCGTTCTATGCTGACTCCGTAAAGCTTGAAAAGGGAACGGTTTGTCGAATTCTGGTCACAAACTAATAATTTGGGAACAAGTCCTGTCTCAGTTACCAGCTTCAAACCTTCGTTGACGATATTCTGCAACCGCTCTGATTTCAATGAACTGGTATTAAAGAAATAACCAATGGCCTGCTTAAATCCTGATTTGATGGATTTCACCATAATGGTAAGGGCTGCACTGGCTCTTTGGTTCATATTGACAGTTTCTTTCCCAACTTTCGTGGGAAATCCCATGAAATAATCGGGATCAGAATTTGCAACATATGTTAGACGTTGTGAAACGCTCATCTCGTCGATAAATACAGTGACCAGTTTCTCGTCCTCTGGCAGACCAGCTACTTTGAATTTAAGGAGCTGTAAAATCGTCGACGAAAATCCTTCTTTGATGTTCAACCTGGATAGCCATCGTTTTATAGTTTCAACAGAGGGTAATGTGAAAATTTTTCGCATCTGCCGATAGGCCTTGCTGGAACAATAATGCAGTATGATAGACATGTTTCGCATCTTATCTGAAAATCTTGCGCCACGGGTTTTCCTGTTTTTATTCTTTTGTAGCTCCATAAGCATGGGATCTGCAAGGTTTGATGATCGCAACAGTAAGTCCGATTTAAGTTTCTTGGATTCTTCTTGAAGAGCTCTAATGTTTGCTTTCAAAGCCCAAGTTTGCTTCTGCTTCATTCGAAGCTTCTTTTTAAGTTCCCGATTCTCTTCTTCGACGATTACTAATCGTTCCATGCATTGAATTATATTTTCAACATTTGCGCAATAATTATGGTCATTTTCAATGCCAATATTGATGGAGGTACGGTTTAAGGTATCCGGGATATACGGAATAACATTTTCATCGGAAATTGAACCCACTTCTACTTCACCAGCAACACAGATGTCACTTGAAGTTAACAAATGAATTTCCTCCTCCATTGGTGCCGCTTCGGCATCTGGTAGTTGATCATCGGTATTACTGATTCCCGGAAATAGAGACGGACGAGCGTGTAGAAACAAACTAAAAATGATTGTTTATAAAGATTCACTATTCGTCATTAATTTTTGATTGTATGCGTATATACTAACCCTTGAGTTTTATTGTTCGGATTGTAGAAGTCGGAATCTTGAAAATGCAAAGAACAAATAAGACTGCTCTTGTTGAGTGACGGGTTGCGACAGAAGTTTGTCCAGGCATCCACTTCCCTAAAATTTTGTAAATTTTGGTATGGCTTAGCAGAAATTTACAATATTTCCAAATCTGATTACCTGTTTGAAGCATTAATCCGGAAGAAAGAAATCCTAGAAGGGCCTTCTTTCGTGCTGGAACATCCAGAAACAGCGCAAAATGATCGACCCATAGCGTTAAAAAAATCATTAACCAAAACGATCCAGATAGCTTAAATGTTTAGCCAACAGAGAAATTAACAGATGTTAGCGGTACGCGTACAACTCTAAATTGAGTAGAATTCACTTCTTCTACACACTATTCTGATTCTACCCTGAGACTGGGTAGACGGTACCCATTCTTATGTGCAGTAGGGAGTTGACAGAATCTGAGCAAATCAGTTTTATTACGATGAGTAAAATGTACCCAAATTCTGGGGAATTGGTTATAATCGCATGTTTAGAATGGTGCAGGTATAAAAGGGAAATTTTTGCGGTGTCCAAATATCTTACACGGTAAAAAAAAAGTACCCAAAATTAGGTTCTTTTCACTCATCTCGGCACTATAGTGCAGGAACCCAAAAGTAGGTAAAGCGGTTCAAAGTAATTTTCACTTACTTGTGTGCAGTTCGTATGGACATTTTCCACTCGCTTTCTACACAAAAGCAAGTAAGTTGTACCCAACAGTAGGTAAATATGATTATACTCGACGTTGGGTTCCCACAGTTTACTACCCTTGTTGGGTGGTTTTGCTCCTCCATTTTTGACAACATTAGAAGGAGAAAAGGAGACAAAAAGTCAAAAGTAGGTAAAAACGAACTGGCCGTTGGGTCCTTTTTTCTTACCTTGTACAATACTGTGGGCCCCCGCTAATCTGAATGACACTTCGTGCATATTAACGGGGTTTATTTTTATTTTGAACGTCTTGTAACCCTATGACCATTAGAAATTTGAGTTTCTGGTAGCCTTATTTGCGGTTTTGTTTTGATTCTGCTTTCCATTTGGCATCATTTCATTCCGCTTTATTATTTATTACGCAATTACAGCGGAAGCGGAACAGCAGCGCAAAAAGCGGAAAAGCCCAATCTGAGTAAGCCTACTTGTCGGATTGAAAACTATTCAGAACAAAATTGACTCCGGCTAGGCATCTTGATGTCATTTTTGACAACTGCCAAACTGCTCATAAAGACGATAATGAATAAAAACTGAAAATGTTCATGCATTTCCAAATGGTTTTCTACCATTCCCATATATTCGAAAGTCTCTGGCACACTGGATGTGGATGATGTCAAAAACAACAAAACATCATTAATTGAGTACATGGGACTTTACTTACTTTTGGCTTCCCACATAGTACCTAGTTGGGTGAAATAAACTTTTTTTCCTTGATTTGTTTTCCGTACTGAATACCAATACTACCGACGACCGAGAAGCAGTTCCCTCACCCACCCTTCGTGATCAGATATTTTGTACCTCAGAAAATCCCGGCGACGCTTGAGATATAAACTTAATTTTGACTAATTTTTTCTTACCGTGTGGTTAAATTTTACTCAACAGTGAGTTGTTTTTGATAGCCTTGTTACGCTCAATTTACAGTGTACTAGTCACCTTTCGCGTCACTAGAGCCGCTAGTGTCGGGAAAAATCGTGTCTTGGGGATAATAGAAGAGTGAACCATATTGTTAATTTATAATATTTGCTGCTACCCTGTATGGAATCCCAATTACCAAAACAGTGTACAAAGCATAGAGTCTATTCAACGACGATTCATCTGGTTTGCCCTTCGACAATTGCCTTGGAGGGATCCTCATTGCCATCCAACCTACGAAAGTCGGTGCCAGTTAATTCACCTGGATCCTTTGTGGAGTCGAAGAGGTACGCCAAGGGCCTTGTTTGTGGCAGACATTCTACAGGGCAGAATCGATTGTCCTTCTATTCTACAACAAATCGACGTTAACGTTCAACCACGAGCACTCCGTAACAACGCAATGCTGAGGATATCTTTTCGTCGTACAAACTATTGTTCGTTAGGGTTTTCAATCGCGTTGTTTCCTCATTTGATTTTCACTTGGCACGCGAGACGCTGCGTCAGAGATTCCTTGATATATTTTTAAGAATTAGGAATTAAGTTGGATTACACGGCCTTTGCAGCTTGTTACTTCTTGACTATATTGTATTTCCTAGTATTACTTAATCCATCATTAGGACCAAACCCAGTCTGTTGATGTAGAACCAAATAAAATAAAATAACTTTTTTATGTCTTGTTAAAATTTATAAACATCTATGGAAACATTGTAGATGATATCATTTTAAGAAACTTTGTCGAAGAGCAGTAGATTTTTCCGTCTTTCAAACACGAGCAGTTGTTCCGAGGCCTTTAATCACCTAGAAATAACGTGTATATTGTGAAAGAACGAGCAGTAAATTAAAGGGAAGGATTGTGTTCTATTGATGAAATTTCACTTCAGGTTGACTCTCTGTTGTTTATCGACGGATTTTCGACTAGGTGATTGTACAAATCAATTGCTTGTCTGTCAGAACTAAGTACGGTGAAATAGCAGGGATATTTGAAAATGGTAAATATAACTGATAGAAGCGGTAGGGTAAATTACAGCTTCCACAATACCTTTACCTATTATCGTTGGGGAGTAAATAATGGGGGTTATTCCGAGAGTCGAAGTGACTTTAGTCACTAGTGAAGTGAGAAAAGTCACGTCATGGTGACGTGAATCTCTGTGCAAATCAAATGGAGAGTCACGTCACCACGATGTGATTTTTCTCACTTCACTAGTGACAAAAGTCACTTCGACTCTCGGAATAACCCCAAATGTCCTTGGTCGCTGTCATTTATTGTATTTTGGTTTAAATATTAGGGTGGCAAAGCGTAAGACTTCTCTCTGACGAATTATAAGGGTGTAAAAGTACCGTAACCTCAAATGTTCAGCAAAAAACGGCCCTAATAAAAAAAAAACGTCAGTAAATGTGCTCCCCTGCAGAAGTTGTAATCGCTATAAAATAGAATTTTCAATCATATCAATTTCACGCCCATCACCAAAGCGGACACATTTTAAGTTTTCATTTGTCGACGATGCTGTTAACCGTTTCCAACAAAGATAAGAATTGATACGCTCCCTACCAACATGTAGGTAGGTATGTACGACTAACACAAATTCAAAACCACTAATTGTTCCGTTTTCTCGGTCTGTCGCACGCCTTTCGTCCAACCGTCACAAACATCGTCTGAAGGGATCTCTGTTTCCATTTTCCTTTGTGGATCCTACAGAAAGGACAACCGGAATTTTCTTCCCCGAAAACATGTAATCTAGCGACGGAAATAATTTAATTAATGGTGTTAACCCCTAACGAAAAAGGATTTCCAGCAAGTTCGGATAATTAATCGATCTAAGTCTGAATAAAGCCATTTGTTTAACATAGAATCGTTTTATGTATTACCATCTAATTTTTCAGTATACTAAATTAGCGAAAAAAATCAGTTCTTCACGAATCCGAACCGAGCCAACTTGGACATCCCAGATCCACCCTTTTCCTCTTCGTCCAGTTTTCGCTTCTCACTGACGCTCCTCGGGGTCGTGTAGCTGTTCAACGTCTTGAACTGTCGCATACCGATTTTTATGAGGTCCGAATCGGTTGCATTAGGGTTTTCCTCTTTCAGCTGATCCTTATTGCTCTCGAACCAGGGCATAAATTTCTGCCCCGAAGATGGCGTACTGCTGCTGTCGCTATTTTTCGGCTGATTTTCATTGTTCTCCGAGTTGCCAGTCACGATGCCATCATGAGCCATCTCGGAAATTCCAGTCAGAAGATTGTCCGATTCGATGGCCACGTTTGAAGACCTTGGAGAATTGAAACCAATCGCCTTGCCTGTAAGGTGCCCGAGGAGATTGGACGATACAGGACTAGCTTTCGATGCACTGTCACTCTTTCTGAACGGATTGTTTTTACGTGCAACTGGTATGGGTTTCTGAAGGTTTAAAATGTATGATATTGAACATTGAATTTTTCACAAAATATGAGACATCTTACAATTTTCGGTGTGTTATCTTTCTTGGTTACCGCTTCCAGATTGATGTGCACTAGCTCACTGACCATTGCGGCGTTTTCCCGGGCCATGTCCATCTCGTGTCGTTCTTCCTCTTTTTCCTAACAAAACAAAACGAAACAAAAATAAAAGATCAATCCTTCGAACCGGATTTGAACCAGTGACCTATGGATAACTGCGCTTAACCAGACCAATCTACAGTCCACCGCTCTACCAACTGAGCTATCGAAGGTACATTCTTGGCGGGTTTCCAGAAGCGAAGTGCTTGCCAGGTCCATTAGCACAAAGAAGAATAAGAAAAAGAAAACATTTCAAAAATGCTTTTAGCAAGCCCAAACGCAGAGGAAGAACCAGCTACTGTATGTGATATTTCAGTAAGTCCAAAGTGTAAGGCTCCTGGCAGAGTGAAGGTTTTGACCCCATCCACTCCCCCTCACGTAGACAATCGTCCATACAGTTTTTTGATTTTGTATGGAGCGTAGACACTTGCCAACCCCACCCCCTAAACTGGCTACGTGGTTCATTAACAGCCCCTTGGCTGGATTAACAATTCTCGATGCATTTGCTGTTGATTTTACAAGCTAAAGTGCAGCCTTTCACAGCACTGCATTGGAAACATTTCAAGCTGAACAATGGATTAGGTCCTAAATAACATTGATCGATTCTGTTCATCAACTTTCGATAATAACTTGGCTACATAACCGTTTCTGGTCTTGTTTGTTTCCCGTATTTATTTCTAGATAATAGCTTCGTTCATCGAGTTTTGTATTGAAAAAAGCTGGACATATCTTTACATGGCCGTGGGGCGCAAAGATAAAATCGACGAAGAGCATCATTCAATGTTCCTTATGACCTAATCCATAGTTCGGCTTGATTTCGGAAATTTATTGATTCACTTATACTCAGCGCTGAGTTCCTGTAGTTTATACAAATTTCACCATATTTCTGAGTAGAAGTGATTATCTCTCTCTCTCTCTCTCTGTAGTCATGTAGGTCACTCATAGAATGAGTAAATGTATACTAAAATATGAGTAAATGCCACTCATATATGAGTAAATGTCACTCAAATATGTAATTCGACAGTGAGCATTCATAAGGGCGTATACGCGATGATCGATTCTCTTCATCGATTTTCTCTTTTCTTAATAACTCGCTAGATTTAACGTTTGTCGGTGCGTTTGTTGTTGCTTTTGAAAGCCAATACAACCTATTACAACTCTACATTGAACAAATTGTACAAAATTGTTTCGCTTAGCTGTAGAAATGCAAAGAGAAAAACGATGAAGAGAATCGATCATCGCGTATACGCCCTTATGCATGCTCACTGTCGAATTATTTACTCGTTCTGTGAGTGACCTATAAGCTATTGCAAATTTAAGTGAATGGAACTCAAATATGAGTCAGATTAATTTGCCGTGTTTGTAATTCAAAGAGAAAATCGTTTAAGAGTATCCATCAACGCACAGTTAGTTTGGCCCTTAAAATTCTGAACACTAGAGATATTATTGGAATCAAATTCAGTTGTTTCACATAAAATGTAGTTTTAACGAGGTCCGCAGTAAATAAATAAAAAGAATATCCTTCGAACCGGATTTGAACCAGTGACCTATGGATAACTGCTCTCAACAATCGTTCGTACTACAGTCCACCGCTCTACCAACTGAGCTATCGAAGGCGATGCTAAAAGCGTGCTCAGAGGTAATTATGATCTACAGAGGTAGTGAAGGTAATTGTTGCCAGTAAAAGTTTTAAACGAATATGCGGTCTGCAGCTAAGTTGTTCCACAAGAAGCTTATCGTTCCGCTCAGAAAATTGCGTTTTGAGTTTTCTAAAAATGGTATGGGAAATCTAAAAAAATATCCGATTGTTCCTCAGATTCTCGAGAAAATTCACTTGTTAAAAGATTGTTTATATACACGCAGATAAACGTATTTGAAATTCAACAAAAGTATTGTTGAATCACGGCTAACAATATTGTATTTGTGTGTATTGAATGTTTATTTGCACATATTTTACGATTATGTATATAGTTAAATTAACTAAACGGTTGTTGGATCGACAAACGAAGATTCAGTAATATTTATTGTAGATTTAATCGAATATTATTTAAGAAGCAATAATATTTTTAATTTAATATGAGTCGAGTTTCGAACGCCTTTGGATACGGTTGTGTCTAAAGTTTGCTCTCTGTTTTGTGCGTGCATTCTCTTTGATAGTTTTCGGCTGCATTTGCCGGATTAGCGCTGGCACTCTGCCTCCCGGACGGTTATACGTGTGTGAGTGGTGGTTTTCTCGCTTTCCGAGAAGTTTTAGAATCAAGAAAGAAAACATGATTCATCATGTTTGCAAAATTGCAAGCATCAGAAGATTTGGCGCTGCGTGGTTTGATTGTTTCTCCCGTACCAAAAATTTGTGGCATCGCGAGTAAAAATTTCAATATCTGTTTATTTACGTGGTAATGAGAACGGCGCTGATCTATTGTTAAGCTGGGTTTAGACAGGGCAAGTCAATTGATCAAGTCAGTTGAATTCAACTGACTTGAACGCGAATTGAACGTGTAAACCATGCCATTCAACTGACTTGATCAACTCATTTGAATTGAAAAAAGTTGAACCAGGCTCAACTTTTCAAGCCAATTGAATTCAACTGAGTTGATCATTTGACTTGCCCTGTCTAAACCCAGCTTTAGGGTTTTGCGAGGTGCATTGCTTTTGTGCACTGAGTGACTTGAAAAAGAAAAGTGAAGAAAAGTGATATTTGGTTGTTGTTTGGTTGGAGTGGAGAGAAAAATATGCGTGGAAGCATCGGGAATGCGCTCCCGGGTGCTGTACCTGTTGTGGACATCTAGTGCATCCTGTTCCCTTAAGGTTCTACAAAGGGTCATTATTTTGTTTACTTCTTCTTTTTGAAATATTCTTCGATCATCATATTCTAAATGTATTGGTAAAATTCATTGGAAGTGCATGTCCCCACGCCAAAACTGCCCATTTTTCATAAATATCAACTGGTCTGGTGAGGAAAACTTAATCTCTTTTTTTCCTTCATTTCAATACAACAGCAAATGTGATGTCCCACTATCTAGTGGATAAGAATGTAGCAGACAAAACATAAGCACTGCTAGACTGCGCTGTATGCAAGTTTGTTTACACCCCTGAGCGGGAAAGTGTATAACAGGCTACGTGCACTGCTGCCATCAACCCTGTTAGTGTTGAATTCAATCTTCTGTAACTTTTTTAATTGGACCGGTAAAATGTTTAAAATGGTCATTTATGTTTTATTTAATCAGTTTTTGATATTTATCCACCATATGTTAATAAGGCAGACTTCGTAATTAATTGTTTTAATAAACTTAAATTCATTGCTAGAGGCAAAACATCTGGCACCGCTGTTTCAATTATACTTTCACAATTGCTAGCAAAGCAGTAAAGTAGAAATGGTTTTCTTTGTGATGAATTTTGTTCACCAAGAGTTTTGTGAAGCAGTTGTTTTGAGTTTCGTGTATTATGTAATGTGCTATACTTCGAAGAACACAAGTAAGTAAATACAGTGAATGTGTTTTACCTAGGAAATTTTCGATCTATGATCACGAAATACATGTTTTAAATTTTCGTATTCATAATATATGAATGTATGTGTAAACTAATGATGATGATTTTATGATATTTAAAAAAGAAGAAGAACACAAAATTACTTACCCTTTGTAGAACCTTAACTTGTTGAGGACACACTGTCTTGCCTCAAAAGTTACCCTTTTTGAAGTACTAGTCTTCACAACATAAAGGGCACCATTACGGAGCATGAGATTTGATCAAATTATTCGCAGTTCTACTTGTCCAACGCCCCAGGCTGGGTGAGGGATAGAGGATGAGACACACACACACACACACTATAATATTTTTTATTTAATATTGTTAGTCGTGAGCAGGCATGGAAAATCATTTGCATTCATTTCGTACATTCATTTACATTCATTTGCCCCTAACTTTTTTCATAAACAGATTTCTGCAAAATAGTGTATGAAGCTTTTGTAGGTTTTGTTATTAGCTACAACTTTTATTAACAACTCAAATCCGTATCTCTTATGTACGACGAACCAGAGCGAACAGAAGCCACTACTGTTTCTCAGTGGATGTATTTTACATTCACTGAAAAACAGTAACAAGTTCTGCCCGCTTTAATTCGTGATGCATAAGAGATACAGATTTGAGTTGTGGGCAAAAGTTGTAGTTAATAACAAAACCTACTAAAGCTCGATACATCATTTTGCGGAATGCTGTTGATGAAAAAAGTTAGAGGCAAATGAATGTAAATGATTGCATGAAATGAATGTAAATGATTTTCCATGCCTGGTCGTGAATCAACATGAGTAAATCCACGCCAATTGACGAATCGATGCAATTTCACCCTCTTCCATGAACCTTTAACTAATCATTCGCTATGGGCAATTCAAGCTGAGCAATGCATTGAGTCCTAAGTAACATTGATCGAAGAGATCATCGACCTTCTCTTTTGTTAATGACTTGGGTACAGAACCGATCTTGTCGTGTTCGTTGTATTGAAGATTTTACTCGAAAAAAAATTTCTTTTGTGTATAACTTTTTTATTGCATGGGTAAAAATAGATGAAATTTTGAGTAAAACTAGTTTAAAGTGTAATGTTTACATGTGCAAAATTTCGTCACAATCTGTCAAGTGGTTATCGAGATGGCTTCCAAGCAAGAAGCGTTTCGATAAAAAAAAATATGGGAACGGTCGTGGAAAATCCACGGATGGCAAAACCATTTGGAATCGACAATTCAACCCTGTCCCGTGTGGTAAAATCGTTCAAGGAGACCCAGACGACCCAGTGGCGAGCTGGCAGCGGAAGAGAAGCGAAGACGACCGACCCCGTGAACGCAAGTAAGGTGAGGAATTACTTCAAGCGCAATCCGAACCTTTTGATTCGGGACGTGGCCAAGAAGGTTCGTCCAGCAGACAATGCAGCGGGCTGGACTTCATGTCTTCAAGGTAAGGATGGCGCCTAACCGAACCGATAAACAGAATACGGTGGCCAAATCCCACGCCAGGAAGCTGTACCGCGAGTGGTTGGCGCAGCCGAAATG